TCTTCCCAGTAAAGCAAAACTTTTATCATTAAAAATTGACCTTCTTTACTCTAGAAATGCTTTTTTTGCCTTCAAAATTTCTTTCCCTGATATTAATTAAATAACCACACTTTTTTGGTTTAGAATGTTCCTATTACATCTTTATCCAGCTTTTATGTATCCTTAGGGTTTTTATAGATCTTTTTAAAATAGCAGTTAGATTTTAGGTTTTGATTCAGTTCTGACAATCCCATTTTTGTTTTTTTGACCAAAGTATTTAATCCACATTTGCTTGTAAATGTTAATCTGTTTGGGTATATATCTTTCTTTATATTTTAGACTCTCTGTGTGTTTCACCTGCCAGTATTTCTTTCTCCTCTTTCCTCTTATTTTGTGTTTTTGGTTTTCTTATTCCATCATCCCCCTTTAGTTTGAAAAGGAAACACTCTTTTTGTTATTTGGCAAGATACCTTCCAAATTACAGCAGGAATAGTTGACTTACATTCAATAAAATGTTACCTTTTTCCAAAACAACTTTGAACTCCAGTTATCTCTTTGTCAATTATTCTGAAGTTTTAAATAGTTTCAGGTGGTTGGGTTTTTGTTTGTTTTTTGTTTGTTTGCTTACTTGCTTGCTTGCTTGTTTTCTTTGGGGTGGGAAGATTGTGCCACACCCCACTGTGCTCAGGGCTGACTCCTGGCTCTGTGCTCAGGGATCACACCTGGCAAGGCTTGGGATACCATATGGGATGCCAGGGATTGAAAATCCGAGTCGGTTGCCTACAAGAGTCCAACCCGCTGTATTCTTTCTTTCTCTGAGCACTGACTAGTTGTTCTATTTGATCTTTTAAACCATATAACTTTATTTGAGACCAACAATTCTAGTTGTGCTGACAACCCCCAAAGTTCAGAAGCTTTGCCCCATTCAGGCCCATTTCTTCCTCTAGACACAGTCTGAGAGAGGTGGGAACTTCAGTTTGGACCTTTTAAAAAGCTGCTCTGACACTCGGGTTTTTTCCAGATTCTGGCTATATCTCATGGTGATCCAATAAAATTTATTTTAAAAATAAATAGATAAATCAAAAGCTGCTCTGCCACCTCTTGCCGAGATCAGGGCAACCTCCCAGAGCAGAAGTTCCCAAACTTATTTGACCTATTGTTACTGTCCCCTTTTCAGAAAAATAAATAAATAAATAATACCTAGAACAGTCCCCTGGAAATCTACCTCTTTAAGTGAACGCACAGAAAGTACCTGTCCCACCCCCCTCCCCAGCACCCTCTGGGAGGCGGTATGGCTCCCTCTGGGAAACACCACTGGGATTCCTCCTGCTTGTGAACAATGGGAGACAAAGGCGTGTTTTGAGGTCTGAACAGTCTCAGTGCTGAACAGTCCCATGCACCAGCACTGCTTAAAGCATAGGTGTTATCTGACATCTCCCTGGGCTGTATCCTGCAGAACTTCTTGTGCTCTATCTCCAGTTCACTAATTCATTCCTAAACTGCATCAAATCTGATGTGAGACTCTTCTGCAAACTTTTAAATGTTGTGCTCTATTTTTTCCCTTTCTAGAAATTTCATTTCTCCCTTCTATGAATGGTATGGTACCATTTCATTCTTGCTTACCATTCATATTTTTCCTTCTCAGTAGCACCTTAAAGTTTGTACTTTATCTCTTGATATATATCATATCTAATTATGCAGCCATCTTGGCTTGGCCATTTTATTGTCTCAAGAAACTTGAATGGCCATTTTGCGTGTTGCTGCCTCTCAAGGACACTGGGTACATGTGGGGGGGAGTTGCTTTGAAGCTTGGGGTGCAGGCTGGCTTCCGCAAAGATTGTTTTCATGTTCTTCTGCACCTTGCAGAATTGTTGTTAATTAAACCTCAGCTTGAAATACCCAGGTGGGCAGGCTCAGCTTCAATCTCCAACATCGTTTTGTGATGCCAAATTCTCAGTGTCAACTCTCTTCCCCCACTCCTTCCCCAAACCTGGTATCTGGCACCAATCACTTAATTTTCCTTGCTTACTTCTGGGTTTACTTCTGACTTGTATTTACATGGGGGAAAAGCTCTTTGGGATCTAATCTTAATAGGTGGAGAAATTCTTGTTAGCCTCTCTACCTTACTCAGCCTCCAGATATAATCCTCTTCCCATGCCTCGTGAGACCATTAATATCTGTATTCTCCAAGCACACCCAGCCCAGGCATTGCTGAAAATGAATCCTACTTAATTGGTTTTATTTTCAATTTTAAAACCCTATGCTCAAATTCACTCGGTTTTGCAAAATACAAATGTCTTCAGAGAAAACGCTGGCATTTCTGTTTATTTAATTTTTAGTAATTTTTTGTATGGAAGTGGGGAATCCATGAGGTGCCCAATATAGTCTCCCATATTGCCGGGTTTTCTGCTGATATTTTCACAAATACTAGGTCTGATGTATCACCGGTGGTGACTTCCTCAATAGAAGACAATTAGTACACTTACTTTTCACTAAACCTTTTAAATTAAAGCATCTTCATTCAAGTAGGTTGAAAGAAAAACCCTTAACTTGAAGGTTAGAAAGACAAATATATTCATGATGCCAACTTAGTTGGTTTCCCTCCAGTCTTTTCTCTCCTAAATAGAAGTTATATATATATATATATATATATATATATATATATATATATATATTTAAAAGAAATTAACTAGAAACATGGTTCCTTATTTGCAAAGAAATATTTAGCAGCAATTAAAAGCCACAGTGTATGAAGATTCTGTGAGTAGGCAAAGACTAGAGATTAATTGGATGGGAGGGATAAGTAGGGTACATGGGGACTTGAGAACCCTAGACACAGGTGAGGGTGTCCCGCGCCCTCCTCAAACTACACATTCTAGGCGTCAGCAAGAGCCAGGAGCTCATGCACACCAGAGCCCAACTGCAGAACCTGTCTGACTATATGATGACTGCCTGACTCACAGCAGGCGTCCCCAACTCCAGCTCTCTAGAACAGATTAGACCTTTATTTAAAAGCAGCAAACGAATTAAGAGCAGACAACTTAATTCATGACCTGTAATGACAGTTGTACACAATTTGTTTCTTTCTAGTTTAACATCAGCCTAATTAATCATGAACAACAATAAACTGCCAGCCAGGGGGTTTCTAATATTTCTTTCCAAACCTCCCCCCGCCCCCAGCCCTTCAACCAAGAATCCTTAGCTAGTTGTAATCAGGCAAGAATCCCTGGCTCCCGTGTCCGTGGCATGGCATGTTCGCTTGCTGAACGTAGTTGTGTCTCAGCCTCTGTTACAGGGTGGGAAGATATTCCCAAGTGTCCAGACCCTAATCCAGCCTTGGCTTTTGCTCACTCCCAGGACTGACTGGGAGAATGGAGACTTTTATCAATCATGTTGCCAAGGAGACTTAGTGACCTCCTAATCTCCTCCATCTAGTTCCAAATGCTCCCTTTTCATTATTGTTTGTCAGCTGCCACTATGTCGAGTGTTTTAAGCTCTGCTTCAAACTAAGAAGAGTGAATTTTGGAGTAGGTCTAAAGTAAGTAGCCCTTCCATGCTCCCCCATCATACAGCAAAATGGAGACAGTACATCCTGTGCAAGAGGATTGCCCCCTCCCTCAGACTCTGCTCCCTGCTCTCTGGGGGATCAACCTGTGGCTGCACTGTCCTGTCCTGTTCCATTCTGTGTTGTGCTGCAGGCACCTATACCAGAGCCTGGCTCTCAGTTAAACACCCAGTGAGAGCTAAGCCCAGAGTTTCTTTCTAAGTAATCAGAGAACCACAACAATGTATTTTTAATATTTCCTGTGGGCAGCAGGGTCTTCCCAAGTCATGCTCAGGGAGGCCGGGTATCACTCCTAGTGACTCTAGGCTAGTGGATCTATACTAGGGTCAGGGATGAGACAGCTCTCTGGTCTTGTAGTGTCAGAGATGATGAGCCCCGTCCAGTGGGGTTTGTGGTCCCCCAGAGCCACACCCAGCTATGCTGAGGGACCATGTGATGGTCAAAATAAGGTCAAGTGCAATATAGGCGCACATCTTAACCGCTGCATGATCTCTCCAGTCTCATGGGGGCGGAGGGGGGCATTTTAGCAGTGCTCAGGCACTATTCCTGTTTCTGTGCTCAGGAGCAACCACTGGTGGTTCTTGAGAAACTCTGCGTGGTATATGTGATTGAACTATATTGGCCTCATGCAAGGCAAGTGCCTAACTCACTGTATTATCTCTCTGGCCCCAGACCTATATTTTTATAAATATCTTCACTCTCTGACCCCCAGACCTATAATTTTACAAATATCTTCACATAGGGTACTTTTGCTCTCCTTGTGGAATTCAGTACCTTCGGGTTTGCATTGAAGACTTGAAGAGCTCTGGTTTCTGTCACTAGTTTGCCTACACATCTGTCAAGCTAGCACACATTGCCATGAGCATATAGACTGGCATCCAATGAGATGTGGCATTTCATTGGTTCATTAAATAAAGATGTAAATGCTAGGTCCATGAAATCTTAAAAGCCTGTGGTTCCTGGGATAGTGTTGGCACTCGAATTGTACATAGCCCTCAGAGGAGAAAAGCCCTTCGAGACAGGGGTTTATCAAATGCAGTGGAGTGTGTCATTCCACAGACATTAGCTTCTGTTCAAGTCCACTCTGTTACCTGTACCTCATTCAAGGCTACTTAACAGGAACTCTATCCCCTCCCTAGAAGAGACCTTTCAGGAGGTCTCTGTACTGGAGCAGTCTATGTGGCTAAAATACCAGCCCACTGAAAACCTTTCTCTTGGCTACAATTCAACACTCACAGTGATACATGGGGACAATGGAGGGCAGTCATCTTCCTGTGATGGGAAGAAAGGTGTCTGCAGGGCCTTCTGGAAAGAATCTATCTGAATGGGAGGCATTACCTCATGTTTTCCCCAGACCTTTGGTTGCCTCCAGGACCCAATTGATCCAGCCTTGTGTGGGTGGTATTGTGGTGGGCATAGCTGCCTTTCAATTGATCCAGCCTCTGTATCTCTGCAGCTACGGGTCTTTAAGCTGGCCAAGTCCTGGCCTACCCTAAACACGCTCATCAAGATCATTGGAAACTCAGTGGGAGCGCTGGGGAACCTCACCTTCATCCTGGCCATCATCGTCTTTATCTTCGCTCTGGTGGGCAAGCAGCTCCTTGGAGACAGCTATAAGGAGAGAGGGTACAAGATTGTTACCTCCAATGAGCCCGCACCACGCTGGCACATGAAGGACTTCTTCCACTCTTTCCTCATTGTCTTCCGGATTCTCTGCGGAGAGTGGATTGAGAACATGTGGTCATGCATGCAAGTGGGCCAGCAGTCGATCTGCGTCGTCCTTTTCCTGATGGTGATGGTGCTGGGGAACTTGGTGGTAAGTGCGTAACGCCCAGGAACGGGTCTCCTGGGCAAATGGTGCAGAGCCTCTGATGGTTCTAAAGGAAGTTGACATTGTGCATCTCGATGTCCATGTTGCCATCACAACTTTTTGATCCTGGGGGACTTGGGCTAAGGTCACACTTTGCAATCCTGTGGGACTCAAGCTAAGAACTGGCCCTTCTGGAGGCAGCCTGGCTTGTTGGAATGGGCCCAGATGGTCGCCCTCCAGCTCCACCATTAGCAAATCTGGTCGAGTCTGCCCAGGAGACAATCTCCCTGAGCTTTAATTTCCTTAAAATTAAGAGAATCGTGTTCACTCTGGGTTTATGGGGAGAATTCATTTCCCGGAGAGGACACATGTAAATTGCCCAGGAGTGGCCAAGGCAGGGACTCAATAAATGGGAGCTATTCCTTATGCTGCAGGAAATTCCCACAGCTGCTTCAGGGGACCTCAAAGGGCGTTTCCCTCCAGAAAGTAAGATACAATAGATATCTCCAAACCCCACAGTTTCTTGGGAGAGAAGCAGGATCATGGACACTATCCAAAGAGCCAACAGTAATAACAAACCCCCTCCCAGGTATGACAGGAAGCCTTCCTGCAAATCGCCCCCTCTGCCCCTTTTCTGCCCTTGGCCTCCCATTCTGGCAGTCTTTGTTCTCCCAGCATTGGTTGGTGGGGGACAACAACTGGCAGGTAGCCAGGTGGCCTTCCAGAAGCCCCCATCATCACTCTGGAAATGAATTGACTTAGGTTCTTTCCGCATCCGAGTTTTGCAGACCAGAGAAAGCTAAACCAAGAGAGCAGAGGAAACACCAAGCTCAGTCATGTCCCAGTCTTCCTTGCACTGGTCCCCGAGCTGGAGGTGACTTCCACTCACATTCCTGGGGAGGTTCAGGCAGAATCAACCTTCTTCCAGGCTGAGCTCACCATCCCCACAGGCCCCAGCTGGGAAGTTGACCTCTCTGAGTCCTCCCACATCCCATGCATCCCCATCCCAAAGGGAGCTCCTGAACCCCAAAGCAGCAAGAAGACCTGAGCCCAGGAGTCCAGTCTGAGGGCAGACACAGATCTTTGTTGGATGAGAGTAGTTCCCAGCCAGGCCACACCTGCTCCTCTCTGACTGTCCCTTGCATGACAGGGGTGACGCCCTCTCAGGTGGAGAATATGCTGCCCAAGGCTGGTTGACAAGTGGCAGGTTCATCTCTGGTCATAGGGGTAGGAGAGCATCCTGACTGCAGAGAGTGATGCCAGAATATAGTCCTGCTGTCCAGCTGCCAACCAAATGTGCTGGCTTGTGGGTCCCTTTATCCATGGACCACTTCTCCCTCCCCTTCCTTCTCTCCAGGTTCTCAACCTGTTCATCGCCCTGCTCCTGAACTCCTTCAGCGCTGACAATCTCACGGCCCCAGAGGAGGATGGTGAGGTGAACAACTTGCAGGTGGCCCTGGCCCGGATCCAGGCATTTGGTAGTCGAACCAGGAAGGCCCTTTGCAGCTTCTTCAGGAGGCCCTGCCTGCTGCCCCAGTCCAAGGCAGAGCCCCACGAGCTGGTGGTAAAACTCCCCCTTTCCAACTCTAAAGCGGACAACCACATCCCACGGGAGCCTCCGAAGGAGTCCAAGGATGAGCTCACTGACTTCATCACTAATGCGAATGTATGGGTCTCTGTGCCCATTGCTGAGGCTGAATCTGACCTCGAGGACCCGGAAGAAGATGATGAGGATGTGCAGAGCTCTAGGCAGGAAGTGATGCCCTCAACGCAGGTGAGTGCATTACAAAAATATTTTTTAAAAAGGGTTGGGGTGGGGCAGGCAATTGGTGGAGGAAAATGGACAGTGGTAAAGGAATCAGTTTGCAACACTGTATGCCTAAAGCCCTATCATGAATAACTTTATAATTTCATGGCAACTAAATTTAAAAATTAATTATTTTGTTTTAAAAAAGCCAATCAAATGGACAGCCAGTAAAACACAAGGGGGAAGGGAATGTAGGTAAGTGGTCTCCTGCTGACCAATACCATGGACAAGCAACCACAGGAAGAGTGATACAGGGCCAAGGGAATGAAGAACAAGAGATTAGGACTCAGTAGGTCTTGCACAGTCTGACAGAAATCCCCCAGGGAAATGCTCAAAGGAGTACTTGCTTTGAGAAAGTACAAGCCATGCCCAGCCTTCCCTGTGGGGTTGGCATTGCAATCCTAGTAGGAAAATTCAGAATTCCCCAAGGAAGCCAGGAGCAGGGTCCATACTGAAGCCTCAACCTGCATTGAGGTATATTTGCTTTTGTTTTGTTTTGTTTTGTTTTGTTTTGTTTTGGTTTGGTTTGGTTTGGTTTGGTTTGGTTGGGAACCACACCCAGCAGTGTTCAGTTTACTCCTGGTTCTGTGCTCAGGGATCACTCCTGCTGGTGCTCAGGAGACCATATGTGGTGCTGGAATCAAACCCAGGTTGGTCATGTACAAGATTTACCTCCTGTGCTATTTCTCCAGCTCTGTGAGGCAACCTTCTACACTGTGGCCTTCCCCAGATTCTGTGCATATGCAGCTAATGAGATTCCTCGAAGAACAGGATGCTGCATGAGAATTAGGCTCAGCTCATCTCCCCCCACAGCCTAAGGAGTCCTGATCATTCCATAACTCACTTACCCTTTTCATGGCATGGAGTACACAGAGAAATGACACTCATTCCTTTGGCCCTGAAGAATATCAAGTATATTTTAGCCTGTACACACGTATGTTGTAAATACTTTGCACAGGCACAGACTTCCTTAAGCTGATTGGGTCTCCCTGGAGAGTCTCTTTTTATAGACACAGACCTCTGGACAGCATGGGGAGGCAGGGGGGTTCCCCATGGCACAGGCTGGGCTACTGGCCAGGCCCTTAAGTGGTCTGAGTCTATAGCTTTTCCATAGCCTTTGTCCCCTGCAGCTGTCCCCAACTGTGTCCTAGAAGAAGCCACTCTCAGCTGCCATATTTTACATGCCTTTGACAGGGAGACTTTTGGGGGGCAGGTCTTCACATCCCCTGAGTAAAGGACACAAACCCTGTGAAAGCTGTCTCCACTCAGAGGAACTTCCGGTGGTGGAAGGGATTTATTTTATTTTATTTTATTTTATTGAATCACTGTGAGATAGTTACAAGCTTTGATGTTTGGGTTACAATCACACAATGATCACACACCCATCCCTCCACCAGTGCACATTCCCTACCACCAATATCTCCGGTATACCCCCCATTCCCACCCTCTCCCTGCTTCCATGGCAGACAACATTTCCCATACTCTCTACTTTGGGGCATTATGGGCTGCAATACAGACACTGAGAGGTTATCATGTTTGGTCCTTTATCTACTTTCTGCACACATCTCCCATACCGGTCGGTTCCTCCAGCCATCATTTTCTTTGTGATCCCTTCTCTATTCCAGCTTCCTTCTCTCCTTTGCTCATGAGGCCGGCTTCCAGCTATGGAGCAATCTTCCTATACAGGAGGGATTTTGAGGGACTCCAGACAGTCAAGTTAACTGCCATTCTGGAACAGGAATAATGATCAGGGCTAACATCTGCAGAGTCGAGCTTTAGCATGAGCATCAGAACACCAGGGCAAAGCCCATCCTACCTTCTCAGGTTGGCAGATGGGGAAAATGAAGATCAGAAGTGAAATAGCTTGCTGAAGGCCACCGCTTTGCAAGCAATGGAGCCCAGAGTCAAAGCAGGTCTATCTAGCTATGGAGCCTCCAAGCTCATGTCCAACATGTGGGCGGTGCTTGCATGTATGTGTGAATCATGTATGTGTGTATATGAGCTGCATATAGTAGGTCCTTGGCTCTGGCAGACCGTGATATGTATGCATGCATGATCTCTTCCAACTTAGAAGCAGTCTGCTGAGGATGGGTCCCCAGTGGGGACGGTGTCTCAGGAGCCAGAGGTGCTGCCTCAAGCCAAGACCTGTGAGGACCCCCTGACGCCTAAAAGCCCAGACTTCAGAACATCTTCTGAGGATCTGGGTTCGTACCTGGGTGAGAAATGGAAGAGCAGGACCGCAGAGGCCCCTATTGAGGTACATATGTGAGATCACATTGGGGACAGGGGTGGTTTAAGAGCACCAGGTTTCAGGGCGTAGTGGGGCTGGAGGATCGCTAGGGTAAAATGCTAGAGACCCCCTTAGCCACACCACCTCACTCCTCTCCTGGAGACTCTTGAGAGTCCCACCTTGTCCTGGGCAGCTCATCCACATGCCTCTGGCTGGGGTCCTCAGAACCAAGTCCTCACTAAGCCAGCTTGCCTCTTGGGTGTCTTCAAGGAGATACTGCTTGTCAAGAGGTTCACTCCTGCCTGAAATGGAATAAATGCCCAGAAAGTGACAGTCAGGGAAAAAAGGAGACAAAAGACAAAGCTAGGAGAACAGTAAATATCTTTGATAGCCGACAGATAAAAGCCAGTATGGTTAACAGCCTGGGTGTGGAGGTCTCCCTGCAGCCCCCGCTCTCTGCTGTCACTCGAGCCCTCCTCTGCAGCCCCAAGCCTGAGTTGCTGGTGAGAGCTGCCTGCCTGTCGGTGAGCGGGTACTGACAGCCTCACTCCAGTGGGAGGAAGAGGTGGCGGGTGGCAATCGCTTACAGGAGGGAAAATAAACTTGCTTGTCTTCCCTGAAGGAAACAAGCCTAGGGGCTCAAGTGATAGTACAGCGGGTAGGGCATTTGCCTTGCACGCGGTTGACCTGAGTTTGATTCCCAGCATCCCATAAGGTCCCCTGAGCACTGCCACGGGTACTTCCTGAGTGTAGAGCCAGGAGTAACCCCTGTACGTGGCCGGGTGTGACCCCCTCCAAAAAAAAAAAAAGAAAGAAAAAAAAATCTATAGGGAAAAAGGTGCCCATACCGATGTGGTGGTTTGGGGACCACTGAATTCAGTGTCGCTTGACATCTGATCACTCCACTGGGACCAGCTCTGGTCATGGCTCTGCCAAGGAGGAGAAAATTCAGGGTCTACATTATCAAGCCGGGCAGCAGAAGCAAAAGCAGCTACTGACCCTGTTACCCAGGCCAGGATAACCAGGAATAAAAAAGAGGACAGCCAGGATCTGGGGTCCCTGGGAGAATGCGAGCCACCTGGTCCCCTGGTTGGGGGCAGGCAGCCACCTTCTTCCTCATCAGATGGTTTTCCTGGTACAGAACAGATGGGGGTTGTGTTGATGTTGTTGTGTTGCTTTTGTTTGTGTTTGTGTGGTTTTATTTTGTCCCTGACCTTGGTCAGGCAAGGAGGGGCCTGACAGTGACAGATGAGGACCCACCCCACCATTTGGGTCCATTAGCCTCGCTATCGGGTTTCCTAATAGAAGAGCGGCTTCAACTCCTAATTGAATTCATCTGGAGACATAGGGCTGGCCTTGCCGTTCAGGCAGCAGGGCCCCAGCAGCTTTGCTCCATGATTAAATATTCAAGCCCAGCAAATGCTGAGAGTCTTTATGGGTGTAATTATGGTGTCTCGGGTCACTGCCAACCTTCCATCAGGGGCCTGGAGCTTTCAAGCCATGCGCGGTGAACTCTGTTGTGCTGGGTCTCAGCTGAACACCAAACATATGGCGGGGGGGGGGGGGGGAGGGCTTAGGGGTAGTCCTGAGAGGAGAGGGACTCTCCCTGACACCCCCACCCCCCAGCCCTGTTGGTGTTGCCATGGGAATGGCCCATGGGGGGCTGGGCTCACTGCTCTGGGCTTGGCCCTGCAGGGGGCAGACGACACCAGCTCCTCCGAGGGCAGCACCGTGGACTGTCGGGATCCAGAGGAGATGCTGAGGAAGATCCCAGAGCTGGCTGAGGACCTCGAGCTGCCAGACGACTGCTTCACAGAAGGTAGAGGGGCCGACATGCACCTGGTCCCGCTGACCTGCATGAGGGCCCCACTGCAGGTCAGCAAGCAGACATCTGGATTCTTCAGTGTTCAGTGTGCAGGGCCCAGCCCAGGGATCCACAGGAGGCAGACCCTGAGAGCCCTCATTGGCCCAACATCAGGACTGAGGGCCCACATCTGACACAACTCACCACATCTCAGTAGATGTAGCTGGGCCTCAGGGGTGCCAGATACCATCAACAGGCCTTATGCTTTTCTCATCATTCTCCAGGGCACTGACCAGGTTGAAGAGGAAAGAGAGTCACTGGCATCGCTGCTCTTGGCTTGACACATAAAGATCCAAAAGATGGCCAAGAGCATCTGTGTGTCCCTCAAGTTTGGGGAGATTTCTTAAAGAGCTTTTGGGGGCCAGGAAGACGGTATCTCAAAGTGCTGGCCCAGCAACCACTTGGCTATGAGTTTGAGCACTGGTGCCCCCCACATGTGCCAAGGGGCTCCTGATAGCCCGACTGCCTGGGAATCCCAGTTAGAGTGGGAAAAAGTATAAATTGAACCTTTACTCTTTTTTTCATAAATGTTTACAGTGGCAGAGTTCTATAGCAATATACAATAAAGGAATAAAGAATTCATGCTCTAAATTAAGAAAAAATTAAAAATCCACATCTAGGGACTGGAATGATAGCACAGCGGGTAGGGTATTTGCCTTGCACACCTCTAACCTGGGTTCAATTCCCAGCATTCCATATGGTCCCCTGAGCACTGCCAGGAGTAATTCCTGAGTGCATGAGCCAGGAGTAACCCCTGTGTATCACCAGGTGTGACCCAAAAAGAAAAAAAAAGTTCACATCTTTATCAGGATTCTGATTCCACATGACTCTCTCCTATCTTGGTGGTAGCCCTTCGACTAAGAGCAGACTGGGGACCACACCAGGTTGGGCCTCCCCGCTGGGGGAATCCTATTCAGCTCCCCGAGATGGCGGGCCAAGGATGGACCTCTTGTGTCTGGTGCAAGAAGAAAGAGAGTTGGTGAGGGCATCAGAGCAGGCACAGAGCAGAGGATAGGAAGAAATTCTTGAGGATCAGGGTGGAGAGGCTTCTCTCATCTTCCAGGAGAGAAGGTCTCTGCAAACGGTTGGTGAGTGGATTTCCCAAAATGGAGGTGTCCTTGCCCTTCTAGCCGCCCTTCTTGCTCTAGACCTTGCTCACCCTGGCGCCCCTCTCCCTACAGGCTGTGTCCGGCACTGTTCCTGGTGCCAAGTTGACACCACCAAGTCCCCATGGGCCACGGGCTGGCAGGTGCGCAAGATCTGCTACCGCATCGTGGAGCATGGCTGGTTCGAGAGCTTCATCATCTTCATGATCCTGCTCAGCAGTGGAGCACTGGTAAGGAGCACTGGCCCCAAGACCCCTCAGTTAGGGGCGCCCATAATCCAAAGGCTCTGGAGCTGCATCAGCACCACCCTCGCCCTGTTCCTGTGTGACTCCTTAGCTAGTTTCTCCTGTGGGTGGAAAGAAGCCTAGTGCAAGGGTCTGAGCAGCAGGGCACAGCAAGCAAGTAGCCCTGTTGATGGGGAAACTGACTCTCTAGATGTCCACAAATATGCAGGTTGGCTAAGCCTCACTTGGCTCTCACTGGACCCCAGAGCCCGCTCCTAAGCCCCCTTCTGAGATCCCAAGTGCACTGGCCTTTGAAAGCCCAGTACAAAAAGGACTGTGTTCCCTGGCCTCGTCCAGCTACCTACAGACACCCCTAATCTTCATTAAAGGCACAGTTGCCACAACAGTACTTCTGGGCGCGTGTAATAGTGCAGCATCTTGTTGGGTAGCTCTGGGGTGGTGCTCAGGGGTCTGCATTTCTATCAAGCTCCCAAGGATGCTGCTGGTTCATGGGTGCATAGATACTCAGAATTTGGAGGCTCAGTCTAAGTCCCTTGCTGTGAGTCCAGGAAGGCTGATTCTCTGTGCTAGATCTGGGGGTCACAGGACCATCTCAACTGTCCTCCCAGGATAGGAGGTATAGGCCCAGGAAGGGACATATCATCCTCCCCCACATTGTTTCCATTTCATGGGTGAGTTCATTGAGGCCCAGAGATACATCGTATCTGGGGTTTCCCCCAGGGTCCCTACATGTGAGTTAGGGAGCATTAGAGCCCCACTCCCCTGATTCATGGATCCATGAGTTTTATTTCCTCATCTTGCTCCTTGTGTGACATGGAAACCATTCATTTACTAAATATTCAGGAAGTCCCTGAAAAGCCACCTTTCCTGGGAAGGTCATGGAGAGAGTCCAGGTGTGGCCCCAGTCTTGGGCATGAGAAGGTAAGGTCTGAGATGAGGGAAGGGAGCAACGCCAGCAAGGGTGCAGCAGGTAGGAAGGAGGCAGCTGCCAGCTGGGGAGAGCAGAAGTGAAGGGAAGCATCTAAGGTGTCCTCTTGTCCCTGGCCATGGCGATGAAAGTCCACCTGGATGGCTCAGAACATTGCTGGACATAGAGACCACAGTCCAGGGCAGGAGGAGGCTGAGGGTGCTTCCTGCACACCTCCACACCCTTGCCCTCCTACCAGGCTTCCTCATGAGCCGTGTTGCTGCTGCCGTTGCCTCCTTGGCTCCTGTCTTTCCCCTGGGCCCTCCCTCCTCCACTCCCACTCCCCTTCCCTCCTCTCTCCACACCCCAGCTGCTCCCCTCTTCTCCCTGCGGGAGTGCTCATCCTGGCCAGCTGCAGGCCCCATCCCAACCCGCACTTCCCCATCTCCTTCCCCAAGAGACTGAGCAGGCTGGCACCAAATTTAGTCTTCCTTATGCTTTTACTCTGAGTACTTTTTAAAAAATAGCATGAGTTTTCATCTGACAAAGGAAAGTGCAAAAAGGAAACAACTGAAGAAAAAAAAAACCCTTTGAAAATGATGAGAAAATGCAGAGAGAAAAAAAAGCTCTCCCATTTCCCTATCACTCAGAGTCTCACTTTGGAAACATTTTTCAATACTTCCTTCCCATCTTTTCATGCATAGAAGACATCAATATTATAGAAGCGAGACCACATCCGTGTGTTCTGTGATTTCTCAGTCAACTTGCTTATTAAATATGTTCTTAGTATCTTGGTCCCTGGCCAGGGGGTATGCCCCTGTAAAACTGTGCCACCACATACTTCATTGGTACCCATGTTGACTTCGAGTAGGCCTGGACACCCTCACTGTTTTGCAGTGTCTGGCTTAGGACTGGGACCGGAAGCAGGAGTCCCTGTGGGGGCAATTTGTGGAGGGTGTGCTCTGAGCATTGCTTGTGAGGCAGACAGGACAATTCAGAAAAGGGAGCTAAAGAGAGGCATGGATTCTGAGGCACTCCAGTGCCAGCCTGATTCTCCCAGAGGAAAGGGAAGTATTCCAGAGTTGCAAGCAGCCATCCTTCACAGCAGCTGGCAGGGAGGAGGCACCCACAGCATCCAGGGTCCTTAGGATAAATTCCTAAGGCTGCATCTCTAACACCTTTGATTCACTTACCAACTGACTCCCAAAGACAGAACCGCTCTGTGCTAGCCCCTATGTCTGAGAGTAGCTGCGTCTCTGTGATACCACTCACAAGGGGCTCCCCACCCCATCCCGACCCATTCTGCTTCATCCTCCCCAACCTGATAAAAGTGACAATCACTTTTCCTCTGAATTTTCCTGAATGCTCGTGAGACAGAATATTCTTTTCCCGGGGTTCATAGGTGAACCTTACTCTCATTGTTGTGAGCTGCCTGGGCACGTTCTTGGAGTCTTTTATTTTAAAATCTCGTCACTGTTAGCATCCTTTGGTTCACTTCCAAAATTCAGTTCTAGAAAATATCCTTTCTCATTTGCCTTCTGCTCCCCAGAAAAGTGTAAGCAGAACTGTGTGTCCCCCCTCCCATTGACCCTGAAGAAGTTATGGGGGGTTATGTCTCATAGTGCAGTGCCTCCTCCCTTCCCCAGAACAGAGAAAACAGAATGACACAGGGAAGCTAGTGACCAAAGCCCTCCCAGGGGCTGAAGGAAGAGTGGTGAGTGCCATCCCCTGGGCCCTGTGCATTCCACTAGCCTGCCCTTCTGCTTGCTCCCTTCCTCTCAGGCCTTTGAAGATTATTACCTCGACGAGAAGCCCAATGTGAAGGCGTTGCTGGAATACACCGACCGGGTGTTCACCTTCGTCTTCGTGTTTGAGATGTTGCTCAAATGGATGGCCTATGGCTTCAAGAAGTACTTCACCAATGCCTGGTGCTGGCTGGACTTCCTCATCGTGAATGTGAGTTGGCCCAATGTGCACATCTGGCCTGGTTGTCCCCTACCTCTACCCCCTTACCGGATGGCTGCAGCTTAGTGCAAAGGAAGATCGGAGGCCCTGGTCCTCAAGGAAGGGCCTCTTCATGGAAAAATCGGGAGTCCTTAGCTGTGGGGCTGAGACTAGCTCTCCACATTTGTGACTGTGAAGACCCAGGCATTCCCCATTCCAGGTACAATGGTGCTGGTTAGGTGAGGCCTCAGCTTCTGGCCTCAGTCCATGGTACAGAAACTGCCCCTCACGGTATTTGATACCTGAACTATTTAAGGCTTTTAGGCTCTGTCATCCACTGTGAGGACACACAAGGAGCAAAGAATCTTCCCACCTGCTGACTGGGGTCCTCAGCCCTGTAATCGTCTGAAGGGCTTTAACAAGTCTCACTGGGCCCAGAGATTCAGGACCCATTGTGTAGGTTCCAGGCATCAGAGTTAAACGAACATTCCTAGCCATGCAGGAGTTCAGTCAAGATGGAGAAGTGCCAAGCTTAGGATATGTGACCCACTTCTCTTCAGGTCCATGAAAGGGCAGAGAGTCCCTGTGGGGTTGGGGTTGGGGGTGAACTCATGTGTCCAGACTCCTCCTAACCTGTGCACACTGCACCCTGCATTCAGGAGGGCTGGTTAGTCCCTGATATGAGACATGTGCAAGGAGCCTTGCAGCACTCCTAAGAGCCTATGAACCTCCCCTCAAAAGCCAGGCATGAGCGACCCTGGCTCAGCCCCTCCAAGTCCTCCAATGCCCTCTTGGCTCTCAAATGGCGTGTTCACTTGCTGCACAGGGGAGAGTCCCTGCAAGCAGGGGGAGGCACGGGTTTTTGTTTGTTTTTTTGGTTTGTTTTGGTTTGGTTTTTTTTTTTTTTTTTGCATCCCTCACTCTCACAGCCACTGTCTGCATTTGGTGCTTGCCTCCCGCAGCTATACAAGTTCCAGGAGAGAACTTTCTACCCCACCCCTTGTGTTGGCAGGTTCTCCCCAGATGCTCAGCATACTCTGTTTTCCTCTTTCCTGATATACTAATGTGCTGGCATTGTCAGTCGCTGAGCCAGGGGGATTAGCTGCAAGGCCTGAAGTCTGAAACACAGGTGATAATTTTGTTCCTGTAAAAGAGTTATTCATCAGTGAAAGGACAAAGATTGCTCTGACTACATACTTCTGTCAAGGGCACAGTCCCTCCTGCTTCTATCTCACTCAGTTCAATGTGGATGACCTACAGTAGTCACTCAACCTGCCCCATTCATCCTTCTACTAATTCTCCCTTCTGACCATCCTTTTCTCCTTCCACACATCTTTCATCTATTAAACCATTCTCGCTTCCTTTCAAATATTCACCCATAAACTTCTTCCATTTTTCCTTTCTACCCATCCTTTCCTTTCATGCCTATTCATTCATCCCAACCTTCCTTCCATACATTCATCCATTTTGTCTTTAACAATCTCATACTTCTCTCTTTTGGTTCATCCTTCAAGCCATTATGTGAGCTTCTAGTCATTCATCCATATTCCTTCCATCCAACCATTTATTTATTCCTTCTTCCTTTATTCCTTTATTTATTCCTTTATTCTACTCTTTCTTCTTTGTTTTTTTCTACTCAAGATCGCTTTTACCCAACCTTGTCGCTTGTATGCAACCCTGGGATATAGATACATAAAATAAGTATAAGAATCAAATTTTTACTAATAATAAATCATAAACAAATTGATTTTTCAAACAAAAAAGTTGGGGCCAGAGAGATAACACAGTAGGTAGGACACTTGTCTTGTACACAACCAATATGGGTTCAATCCCTAGCATCATATATGATCCCCAGAGCCCCTTCAGGAGTGATCCTGAGCACAGAGCCAGGAATAAGCCCTGATTGCCAGTAGGAGTGGTCCCAAAACCAAAAATACATTAAGTTTCATGACCATAATAGGGATGTTCAGTTGTTGAGCTTTTGCCTTGCATATATGAGGCCCTTGGATACAATCTCCACACTTCAGGGAGAAGGGGATACTTTACAAACTTCATTTTGGTTTGTTTTTTAAAAAAATTTTAAAAATTTAATTAAAGAAAAATTATTTGCAAAGTCATAGTTTTAAGCATACAATATTTCAATACCAGTACCACTATGAATGTCAACTTCCCTCTACCAATGTTCCCATATTCTGTCCCCACCCACCCCCACCTATCACCTTGACAGCCACATTACAAAGTCCCAGTAGTTTAGATTGCATATTTTCAATGTATAAATGGCATTTTGGAGGATCCAGGGATAAAGCTCAGCAGTAGTGCAATTGTTTTTCATGTTTGAGGCTATGGTTGTATTTCTGGCACCACAAAAATTTTATTTTACTAAAATGTTAATGACCTATATGGGATCACAACCACAATTTAAGAAGCTAGATCTCTCTTTCCTTCGTTCCACTCATCTGTTCATTGATTCCTTTTCCTTTCTTTCTTCTGTTCATCCATCCTCCTATCTATCATCCAACCAACTGCCTTACTTTCTCATCTTTTCTGTTTATATACCCGTTCCAATGCTCATTCATTTATCATTCTACCTAATCATCCATCATACCTTCATCATCCATCTCATCTTACTTTTGCTTCCATAATTTTCTTTCTTCTTTGCTTTCTTTCTCTCCTGCTTCATTCTCCTCAAATGTCCCGCCCATGTTGATTCTTTAACCCATTCTTCTATCCAGTCATCTTTCAACCTTCCATGCAGCTAGTCTAGTCTTCCTTCACTACCTTTCTTTTATCTGTCCAATATGCTTCTACTTTACTTCAACTTATCAAATGCTTATTTTTTGCTACTTAATATTTTCTTGTAAAGTTCTCTAAGAGAGATAGAAGCCAAGAAATAAAAATAACTTATCTCCAGGTGTTTACACTTAAATTTCCCAGCAGATAAGACACACATAGAGAAATAAACACATTATGAGGTGGGGAGTGGTTTGCACTGCTAGAAATAATTAGTATCTTAGAGACACAGGGACAGCAGCCTGCTTCCACTCAGCGGATAGGGTGAGCAGAAAGGCTTTACATAAGTAGTGGTATTAGATGTAGGACTTAAAAAGATCAGAAGAATGTTATTGTGGGAGGTGGGTTACTCTTAGTTAAAGGGACACAGGGACATTTGGGAAATAATTTGGTTTGGGTCCAATATCTGGGTGGAAAAATTCCTGGAAAAGTGGCTGTCTAATTTAGACTAAGGAGTGTGGAGCGCATTCTGAGGATGATAAAGTACTACGGAAGGTTGAAGAGAAGAACCTGGTCATAGTCAGATTTGCATTGGCGGGTTGATGCTGAATTATAGAACAGAGAGGCTGGCAACAGCAGCCTGAGCCTTGGGCATGAAGCTGGCATTGAGGGAGGGTTTTGATGGAGAGGCCTCAGCACCCAGGAGCCCCCTCCCCGACACACACACACACACACACACACACACACACACACACACACTTGCAGACTTCTCACATGAGACAGCCTTCCCAGGAAGGTGCTAAAAAAGAGAATGAAGAGGGTCCAGCATGCCCCCTGCTGTTGTCAGAAGTCCTGCATGAAGGAAGGAGGAGGGTCCTTTACAAGTCCCTTCTTTGCTGAAGGAGTGAGCCACCCATTCAAAAATATAGAGGCCCTTGGAAGCTTCAAGCCCAACTATGACCCTCCCTTCCCACGAACATCACTGCCTGGTTCCAAGCTAAGCTACAGCAGTCTGCAGTGGCATCCCCTCACAAGTGATCCCTGAGCACAGAGCCAAGAATAAGCCCTGTAACACAGACAGATATGGTTCAAAGACAAAGAGAAAGAGAGAGAGAGAGAGAGAGACAGACAGACAGACAGACAGACAGACAGACAGACAGAAAGACAGAAAAACTGCCCCATGAGAGCTCACCAGTCAGTCATTATATCTCATCTCTGTCCACACTGTGTCTCATGGTCCATGCCCAGGTCTCTCACTGATGAGCTGTGGGACTACCCGGACCTTTGAGTGTTTCACATCTGGTCCTCTATTTTTCACAAAGGGAGATGGTTTGCTGGGACCCACAAGACACTGCCTCCAGTCACAAAAGTTAGAGGTCCAGCAGGATCTAGGCAGCATGCAGGCCAGGATGTGCTCCCCCAGTTTTCTCAACAAATTTGATTGAGACTTGCTTTGAGTTCCTCTAAAAATAGACTTCCAGCATCACCCCCACAAGGGATCATCATCTCTCCAAATACCTGAAAGCCAATCAGAGTTTCAGGATGTTAGGATGTGGTTGGTGCCCCTCTAGAGACAGGGACGGTAATTTAACACACTTGGATTTTGGCCCCCTGTATACCTAGAGGGCAGAGGCAAGGTAGGAGACTGAGTCTTTCATGCCCAAAAGCTTAGATAAATAATCAAAGAAATCTTGGCTAAAAGCGAATAGATTGGACCCCATAGACCTCTCTACAGAGTTTAGGTGGAATTGGGAGTCCAGAAAAAGACTTACCCAGAGTTGGGGGTGGGAGGAATTTCCAGTCTCCTTGAAGCTGGACCACCCACCTCTTTGGAGCCATTGGGTGAGGCTTTTGCTGTCTGCCTGCATTCAGATCTCACTGACAAGCCTGATAGCAAAGATCCTGCAGTTTTCTGACATTGCACCCATCAAAGCCCTTCGGACCCTGCGCGCCCTGAGGCCTCTACGGGCACTGTCTCGATTTGAAGGCATGAGGGTAAGACTTCTCTTCAAACTGCTCCTGTATTATAGCAACCTTGGCTGTAACTTCCCTCAACACCCAGCCAGGCCTGAGCAGCATATGTGTGCTTTTCAACACAGACAGCTGCTCAGGCCAACAGAGTTCAGGAAACAGATCCCAGCTCCCCTTCTGTCACTAAGTATCTGAGCCTTGGGGCTGGAGCGATAGCACAGCGGGTAGGGCATTTGCCTTGCATGTGGCTGACCCAGGTTTGATTCCCAGCATCCCATATGGTTCCCCGAGCAATTCCAGGAGTAATTTCTGAGTGCGTGCTGAGTGCGTGAGCCAGGAATAACCCCTTAGCATCGCCGGGTGTGACCCCCCCAAAAAAAAGTGTCTGAGCCTTCTGCATGGGAGTACTGGTTAGCCTCTTCCTTTGCTGCCCCCAAAGGCACTGACTCCTGAAACCATCCCAGTGGGCAGGTGGAGCATAGAAAGAAGTGAGCCCTAGCAAGAAGTGGTGGGACCTGGGAGGATTCTAGGTCTGGTGCATCTTCTCCCACCCCACCAGGTGGTTGTGGATGCCCTGGTGGGTGCCATCCCATCCATCATGAACGTCCTTCTCGTCTGCCTCATCTTCTGGCTCATCTTCAGCATCATGGGTGTGAACCTCTTTGCCGGCAAGTTTTGGAAATGCATTGACACAGCCAATGGTGGATTTTCTCTTGTGAATTCAACTAATGTGACAAACAAGACTGAATGTGTAATTAAAAACTACACCAAAACCTTTTTCTGGGTCAATGTGAAGGTGAACTTTGATAATGTTGGCATGGGTTACCTCGCGCTTCTGCAGGTGGTGAGTCTTTGTCCCTCCCATTGATTAGTGGATAAAATGGGGGTGGAAGGGGTCTGAGGTCCTTTGGAAGATGCTGTGTAAGATGTTTGGAGGGGTAGGGAACCAACACTGAATGAGCTGCTCCTTGTGTCCAGGCAACTTTCAAAGGCTGGATGGACATCATGTATGCGGCTGTGGATTCCCGATCAGAGGTGAGTTGGCCCACTTGCAACCCCTCTTACCTCAGCACTAACTGGAGTGGAAGGTAGGTGGCCTTGCATTCAGGACAGGAGACCACCCAGCAGCCTGATATTATCTCTCTCTGGGGCAGTTCCCAGTGGGGCCGCTCTTGGATATTTAAGCCAACCTTGCCGAGACCCCTTCCACACACACTTTCCCCACGTCTGCCAGATCTTGGTGCACTCACTCAGAGGGAAGCATCAGTTAAAGAGCTCCATACATGGGGCATTTCTGGGACCAACGCCTCCCTCGGGAGGAGATGGGGTTTCAGGTGCTCTCCTAGTACTCAGGCGAAGGAAAGGGACCTATGGGAGAAATGCCCTTTTCTTTTTCTTTTCTTTTCTTTTCTTTTTTTTTGGGGGGGGTCACACCCAGCAATGTACAGGGGTTACTCCTGGCTCTGCACTCAGGCTGCACTCAGGAATTACTCCTGGCAGTGTTCAGGGGACCATATGGAATGCTGGGAATCAAACCCGGGTCAGCCACGTGCAAGGCAAACGCCCTATCTGCTGTGTTATCACTCCAGCTCCAAAATGCCCTTTTCTTTTTCACCAAACGGGGTCTCCATCAGCCCACTGCTGTACTTGCCCACACCCTGGGCTCCCTCTTTTCTATCCTTGACTTTCCTTAGTGCTCCCGTGTGTCCTTCCCACAGGGCAAGTGGATTTAGTGTCCCCAGGGTGGGGTCCTCAGAGCCAAGTCATGGGAGTGGCCAAGAAGCTCTCCAGCCTCCCTGTCCTTTGGTAGGACAGTTTGAGTGGTGTGTTCCATACAGTCCCATTGAAGGTCACAACAGGATGGGACAGCAGTGGCCCATAGGGCTGGTTTTCTGACCACATCCCTTTGCTCACATTTTTCCTGTTCCTGCCTTCCCCACCCCTCCCCTCTTCCTCTCTCATTTCAATTTCCTGGGACCACCTTCCAAATAGCTTACCTGTGCTCAGGCTTTTGTTTCAGGGATGAGTTTTGGGGTAACACAAACTAAGAACACCACACTCCCCTCCCTGCAACCTGCTCTCTTTTCTAGGTGGACCTGCAGCCCCAGTGGGAAGACAGCGTGTATATGTACCTGTACTTTGTTGTCTTCATCATTTTCGGTGGCTTCTTCACGCTCAACCTCTTTGTTGGGGTCATAATTGACAACTTCAATCAGCAGAAAAAAAAGATAAGTGGGGCTCAGGTGTTCCTGTTGTGGTGGTGAATCCTTTTGGGGACTCTTTTATGTGGTTCTCTGTGGGCCTGGAGGCTGCTCCCCACCACACTTGGCCAATTGGGACAGCAATTCAATGCACGTGTTCCAGGATGTAGCACTGCTCAGGCCAGGCAGTGCCAGGGACCACTCAGGGTCATGACTATGGTATTTAGACCCATTCAGGGCCATCCGGTGATGCTTAAGAGGCCCTTGTGGTACTGACCCAGGAATCAAACCCACATTAAGTACATATGCCCTAATCACTGAACTATCTTCCAATCCAGTGATGAATTCTTACATGATCCCGTCCCCTGGTTTCATACTAAACCTTTTTAGGCCTGACCAGGAGCCCAACTTTGACCAACCTTTCCCCCCTTTGCAGCCCCACCCCTGTGTGGCATCTGGGGCCACCTCTGGAGAAGCAATGCTCCATCCTGCCCCAGGTCACTATGTTTGTTCCCAGAGTTCCCGGCTGGGGCGCCTATGTTGGGTGTCCCAGGTTGCCCTTCGGGAAAGGTCAAGAGGAAAGAAAGGTCCTTGCACTTATTATTCATGGCTGGGGGCCCTGCCCTCCTGAGTACTGAATCAGGGCGCTCCTGAAAGAACTAAGACCTTCATGTTGGTACAACCCAACTCTCCTGGGATGGGGAAAAAGAACCCTGCCTCCGTGGGAGCTGCTGACCAACAAGTCCAACTCCAGATAGCCTGCCTTGTTTTCATTCAAAGATGAAAATGGGAAAACTGTAAAATGCACTCCTGCTCTCCGGTCACACCTACCCTTCAGCAAGGGCATGAAGCCCCATTTGAATCTTGTATAAACCCAGAATTCTACCCCCACCCTTGTCCCTAACAAAGGGACCACGTGAATAAGTTAGCTACCAAAGTATGACAAGTACATCATTGGTTTGGGTGTCAGACAAGCCTGGATTTGCAGGTCCAATGCCACCATTTGTGAGATCCTTGAAACTTCTAAATCCTCTGGACCTTTAATGGTCTCCTCCATTTGAAGAGAATAGTATTCCTCCTTTCCCGGTGCTGTAAGAAGCTCTCAAAGCCTGTCCATAAAACACCTGATTTACAGTTCATTCCTTTTTACAGCCCTTCAGTGAAAAGTGTTTTCTTACCATATAGAACATGCAGGCATTACACCTGCAGGAGTTACACCTGCAGGAGTTCCCAAGGGCAGGCATTACACCTGCAGGAGTTCCCAAGCAGAGTTCTAGGGCTCCAAGCGGGCAGGGCAGATCAGTGAGTGCATACTGATCTGCCAGATAGCAGTGATAAAACTACCCACCATGATCAACTTCAAGATATTCAAGTCATGCTTTCTCCCATTTTACAGATAAGGAAACTAAGGAAACTATGCATGATAGAGGAGTGAGAAAGGCCCATGATCAATTTGGGGCCAGAAACCAGATTCTCTGACTCCCTATCCAGAATCCTCGGTGTGAACTCAGCTAGAACTTGCCAGTCCCAGTCTCTGCTGAGAGGTTCCTCCCAGGAAACTCTCTGTGTCACAAATGTTCCCTCACACCCCACAGAGCTCAGCCCCACTCCCTCACCCTCAGCACTTGCAGTGAGTCACTTACACAAACATGTTGTGGAAATAGGAGGCTTTCAAAGTATGTCAAGAAATGAAAGTCACAGGTTTGAATGAAGATGATGCCACTGTAGTAGCACTGTCCTCCTATTGTTCATTGATTTGCTTGAGCAGGCATCAGTAATATCTCCATTGTAATACTTGTTGTTACTGTTTTTGGTATATCAAATACACCACAGGGAGCTTGCCAGGCTCTGCCATGTGAGAGGGATACTCTCAGTAGCTTGCCGGGCTCTCTGAGAGGGATGGAGGACTAGAACCCTGGTAGACCATGTGCAAGGCAAATGCCCTACCCACTGTACTATCATTCCAGCCCCAGAAGATGATGCCAAGGGTCCCTTAAAGAAATCCATGCCCAGAGAAAAGGGAGGAGTAGCTTCAATGAGGAGGTAGGGGTAGTGTTTCCAGAATTATGGCAACATAGGGTCACGTGCCTCGCAGGGCCTTAGAAGGACCAGGCAAAAGTTTTTCAGCACTCTTGGATAAGGCAGTAAGCATCCTCAATGCATCCACCCTAGAAATCCGAGGGCTTGGTTCAGGTCTCTGCTCCACAAGGTCTGAGGGGAGCTCCAGCCTCTCAGACACTGTGTTCTGATGCCCTGTGGACCCCACTGGAAGGATCAGGTTGGATCCAAAGCTCACACCCAAGCTGCCGTGTCTGAGCAGCTGCTCTCCTTGGGTCCTACTCTTCAGTCTTCCCTATCCTCTCTCTAGGCAGCATTTCCGGGTTTCTGGAAAGAACAGGCTTTGTTCAGAGACCCAGGCAGGGGACCCAATGCTCTCTGTCGAGTTGTGGCACGTGGAGCTCATGCTGGTTGCTCTTGGCCTTGGTGTATCTTCCCTCAGACAGAGACAGAGATGGAGGGTCTTCCTTGCCAGTGAGCACTGGGTGGGCATCCCTGCAGTTCCTGCAGCATTAATCACGGCCATGTGTTATCGTCTTCTGCACTTAGGGGGCCAGGACATCTTCATGACAGAGGAGCAGAAGAAGTACTACAAAGCCATGAAGAAGCTGGGCTCCAAGAAGCCCCAGAAGCCCATCCCGCGACCCTTGGTGAGACTCTAAACCTTCCCTCTCCTGGGGAGTATCTGGATTTGCCACCCAACACCTCTATCTGGAGTAGAGAGAGTGGAGTGGACAGTGCTCTCCATGGAGGAAAGCTGAGTTGGGTTTGTAGATGAGATCCTGAAAATCCTAGGCCCAGTGAGTAAGAAGTCTCAAAGAAGCAACTCGTTCTATAATAAAAAGACTTCCTACAGTACTCCAAAAAGGCCTGCTTACGGAGGGACTGAATTTTTCATTTGGGTTAGGGTCCTAGAATAATAGTATTTGGAAGATTGAGTGGGTAAAAGGGTGGTTGGAGCCTCGAACTGAGTATCTGTGTGGTTGGCATCACTGCCAAAGCTATAACGGGTGTCGGCCTCACTGTGATTGTGTATCTGTGCCTACAGTAGAAAAGACCAGAATCTACCCACCCAGGGATGCTGGGTCAAACGACACAATGGGAACCAGAAAGTCTCCCACTCTAGAGTATAAAGAGGTTCCTAAATTAACGTCTTACTTACCTTCAATTCCTTTATTCACAAAAACCCCAAGAGATTATCCTCCCTCCACTAACGCAGCACCCAGGGCAAAGAAAAAGCACAGCAGGTGGGGCACTTGTTTTGCACATGGCCAAGTTTGATCCCGATCACCACATATGGTCCCCTGAGCACTGCCAGGAGTCAATCCTGAGCACAGAGCCAGAAATAAGTCCCAAGCATCACCAGGTGTACCTCCTGAAACAAAAATAAGTAAATAATAAATAAATGCCGTATCCACATTGTCTAGGACACCACCTAAGTTCTTCTCTGGCCTCTGTCAAAAAATAGAACAGCATCAAATCTCTGGTGGGGCCAGGGAGTGCAAGTGGTAAAATAGAAGTCTAGTATGTGTAGAACCCTGGGTTTGAACCCTAGTACCAGAAGATTCCCTGAGCATTGTTTGGGGGAGGAGGCGGTGCTGGTGACTCCCTGAGCAGTACCAAAGTGACCCCCAAGCTATCAGGATCTCATCAGAAGCTCACCAATGCGATGCTCATTACTAAGAGTAACCTCTGAGCACTACTGGGTTTGGCCTATATGTGTGCGGTGTGGTGTGGTGTGGTGTGGTGTGGTGTGGTGTGGTGTGGTGTGGTGTGGTGTGGTGTGTGTGTGTGTGTGTGTATGTGTGTGTGTACTTAAACTCTTTGGTTGGCTGAGTTGCAAATGTACTGCCGAGTCTCTTATAGCCAACTACTGAGCCATTCTCTCCAGTGAATGGAGTTGGCATCTTGTACCTTGACATAACCTTTCTGTGGTTAAGATGCATCACTTAGGAAGAAAACTACAGCTGCTGCTCGTGGCACAATCCCATTAGCTGTTCCCCTCGCAAGGACCAAGCCTAAGGATGGTCAACAAAGGAGAAGGCTTCTTCTTAAATGAATTAGGGAGACACATATTCTGTTGGCCTAGGCATTAAGATTTCTAAATCTAGGCGGGGGAAGGCACGCATAAGCTACTAAAAATTTCATGAGCAGAGTCTTGAAAACATTTACAGGAGGCAAAAAAAAATGTTATGATCTTTGGAATGCTGTACCTGGAAACAGGCCATGAATGTATTACTAATCTCAGTTCTGATAAGCAGAGTTACAGTGAAGAGTGACAGGCTGCTCGGAGTTCTGGGGACAGGTTGCTTTCCAAGTCTCCCCTATAATCAAGATAACTGGGGTTGGGCCAGAGAGATAGCACAGAGGGTAAAGGACTTGAGTTGCACGCCGCTGCTAACCTGGTTTGAATCCTAGGCACCACCAGGCGTGAGCCCTGAGCATAGACCCAGAAATAGCCTGAGCACCTCCTAGTGTGGCTTTCCCTCTGCCCCCCCCCAAAAATATGGGTAAACTGGGGTTAAGTGAGCCTGAGGGAACTTTTTAAGGCTCAAGGAGTACCCCTCTGTCAATCAGCACCATGGGCAGAATAGGCTGAAAATGAAAAGAGGTGGGAAAAGGTTGAGCCCTGCCAAACATCAAGCCAGGGGCTATGGGAGGAGGCACCAAAAACATTCAGATAAATCAGCTGCTGAGTCTCTGTTGCTTGCACAGCCACTCACACTGCCCTTGAGTCCACATTTGAAACAGGCACTGGGCCCGTAGTACAGCAGGTAGAGGGTTTGCTTTGCTGTATGACCCACCGAGGTTTGAGCTCCTGCATCCCATATGGTCTCCTGAGCACTACCAAGAGTAATTTCTGAGTACAAAGCCAGGAGTAACCCCTGAGCATCTCCAGGTGTATCCTGAAACAAAACAAACACACATTTGAAACATTGATGCCAGAGAGTTCATGCTAGGGGCAATGCTGGGCAAAATCCTCAGTGTTCGGTTTGTTCCCCTTCTGCCTCTCCCTTTGTCACATCTCCCTTTCTCCCTTCCCACCCACCATCCCCAGCCCACCACAACTTCCTCTTGGCAAGCAGTGCAGCTTCCCTGGGACAGGGCAAACTGCACTTCCCAAAGGGATTTTGGAAGAGAACATGGTCTTCTTATAAAGCTAGGGAGTTGGAGAGATGGTACAGTGGGTAAAGCACATGATCACCCTGGTTTGATTCCTGGTTACCACTTATGGTCCCCTGAGCGTTGCTAAGGTCACTCCTAAACACAGAGCCAGGAATAGCCCCTGAGCATGTTGGGTGTGCACCCACCCCTCAAAAACTGCAAAAATGTTAAGGTTGGTTGCTATTCATGGTGCTGGACATGCAAATGGAAGTCCATGGTTAACCAGGAAGACCTACAATGAAAGCAACATTTCTTTTCATGGAGCCATGCGCAAGATCCCCACATGTGTAAAAAGGAAGAGGAGCCCAGATCCAACTGCCGGTTTGAGACTCAGTGAGAGGAGAATGTGTCACTAACTCACTAGCAATGTGAAGCTGGTACCAGTGAAGACACAGGGCTCCCCCCTTGGTCTACTATAAGTGTGACAAATATGTTTTCCTGAGTACCACCCTTCCAATTCACCCCAAATCAGCTCTGGTCAGGAACGTTTTGTTTTGTTTTCTTTGGGGGCCACACCCACCAATGCTTAGGGGTTACTCCTGGGTCTGCACTCAGGGATCACTTCCCCTGGCAGTGCTTGGGGAAGCATATAGGGTGCCCAGGATTAAATCCCAGTAGGCTGTACTCAAGGCAAGTGCCCTACTCACTGTACTATCTCTGCTGCCCCAGGCCAGAAGCATGCAAACAGACTTTGACATCTTCAGGATGCCTGAGGAGAAGCTAGCAGAGGGGCCCCAGGCAGGAACTGCCTCTGGCTGCACTCCAGTCCTCACAGGCCTTCTAGCCTAGTATCTGGCCAGAATCCATGTGGCAGGCAACATCTTGACATCCATCATCCAGTGGCACAAACCTGATACTCCTCTGCCTTCCTCAAAATCCAAAGCCAAGAACGACACCCAAAGGCAAAGATATATTCCAACTCCACCTGGAATGCTTCTTCCTGGGTCCAACTCACCTCTCCTGAATTGTGGATGCTGGGATGCTCCGCTTTGCCCATGATCAATCCCATCAAGTGGAATAGGGCACTGGCCCAGGACTTCTTTCTTTTATTTTTTTTTAATGTAGGAGTACTGCTATTTACTCAGCCACTGATTAGCTGATTGAATTGGGCATGAACTCCACCTTACTTTTTTTCCATTTTTTATGGTAAAGGTAAAGGTAAAGGCCCTCCCGTTGATCGTCGATTTGCTCGAGCGGGCCCAGTAACGTCTCCATTGGAGACTTTGTTGTTACTGTGTCTGGCATATCGAATACTCTCGGTAGCTTGCCGGGCTCTCCGAGAGGGGCGGAGGAATCGAACTCGGGTCGGCCATGTTGGCCGCGTGTAAGGCGAACGCCCTACCCGCTGTGCTATCGCTCCAGCCCATTTTTTATAATTTTATTTATTAAATCACCATGAGAGCAGTTACAAAACTTTCGGGTTTAAGTCTCAGTCATACAATGAAACATCCGTACCTTCACCAGTGCCCATTCTCCACTACCAAAAATCCAGCATACCCCCATCTCACACCCTCCCCCTACCTGTGAGGAAGATGATTTCCACATTACTCTCTCTCTACTTTGATTAAATTCAATATTTTGACACCAGACTCACCATTATTATTTGAGATTTTACCCCAACACTCAGATCTGCTGAAAAGGCAACAGTAGACAGTTTGTTTTCTATTCCTGGTTATGAATAACATATGATGTCACATGGCTGCAGTAGTGGCTGTGCGATTTTGAAATTCCAAAATTTTAATGATTAAATCTGGAGGGATTTCTGCCAAAACCTGCTGGGTTCTGAGTTTTGTTCCTGACTCTCTGGGATCATGGCCGTTAAACAGCTTGATCAGGAGCCAGAGAGGCTGTTCATGGGTGTCGACTCGGGATCTTGTTGGGACGGGGAGGAAAGGGCAGGCTCCACCCCCATCCTGTTAGGCCCCGCGTGTCTCATCACTGTGGGCCCAAACCTGACTGTCTAATGGCCTCTGGTGGACGGCGGCCACCGAGCCCCCAAGGAGGAACAGGTGGAGGGACAGCACCCTTTCCCCCCTGGGGTGGCCCAGCGATAGTAACCTACTGCACGGTCCGAATGCATTTCTGCCAAAAGCCACTGGGTTTCGAGATTTGTTTCTGAGTTTCTGGGATCATGGCTGTTAGGCAGCTTGATCAGGAGCCAGAAAGGTCGTTCGTGGGCAGTGACTCAGGGTCTTGTTGGGACAGGGAGGAAAGAGTCAGCTCCACCCCTATCCCGTGAGGCCCCATGTGTCTCGTCACTGTGGGCTCAAACCTGACTGTCCAGTGGCCTCTGGAGGATGGCAGCCACTGGACCACCAGGGGGAATAGGCCAAGGCATGAAACCTATTCCCACCTGGGTTGGCCCAGCACTGGTAACCTACTGCAGGGACCGGACGCATTTCTGCCAAAAGCCGCTGGGTTCCACGATTTCTTTCTGAGTCTCAGGGATCATGGCCACTAAGCAGTTCAATCAGGAACCAGAGAG